CATCGTTCATGCCATCTGCTCACTCTCGCGATACAATCCTGGCAGCTTTGTCATATGTTCTGCTTCTGACTTGATTGTTCCGTCGCCTTCGCGCCTAGTATTGCTAAAAAGCACTCGCAAAGAGCTCACGTGCTATCAAGTCTGCGGACTGAAGGGAGAGGAAGCGAAAACTCTGTTCTATGTTCAGTGTGTGACTAGAGTGACCGGTCTCATAAAAGACCTAAGTTGGAACTCGTTGGCAATATATTTCTGCTCCCACACGGGAATAGTCTTTATGCGAGGCTCTGCTCTCCTCTCTTCGCGTCTTCAAGCAGCTCCGTGATGCTCGCAAGCCCGCTCCACCAAAAGGGAATTGGCGATGTTTTGGCGATTCTCTTAGTTGTAGCATCACCGCGTAATACATTCCCGGCTATGGCAGTTGTCGGTTCTGAGATTCGCTCTGAGATCCTACGGTAAGGATCCTATGACCGATCCCGCCTCAAGCTGTACACCACTACAATGTGTAAGAAACCAAATGTAAAAATTTTTCATGTACTCACGCATATCATTATGTAGGGTTGCGTAATGAAGCACTTGTCATCTGCTTTTCTGAGCCAAGCATGTGCTATTACACAAATATTATTTGGATTTCCACGCAGGGCTGTTTTCTACTTTCATATGATATTCTGATATGTGCCGTTAAGGGATCTTGCGCCAAGGTATTAGACATGGGATAGGTGAGTATATTGCATAAGACTCCCATGATATTTATTTTCTCAGTTGTGATATATTATGGGTGAAACATAAGCAACTAAGAGTATATACAGCTCATTATTGGCACGGTAGATTCGAATTTTAGGGCATTTTTAGAGGACAGAATGTTCACCCAAATTATGAGTCATACATCTGCCATCGTTTTTGTCCGTCAATTTCAAGCATTCTAAATGAAATGAGTTCATTCCGTTCAGAAGAAAATGGCTCGTTTCGATTTGAAAATTGATGTAGGAAGCAGGTGCATATCACAAGGCTTATGGTTTCTAGGGTTTTAGTGGAACAGAGAGATTTTATGCAGCCCAGGCAGAAAACTAGCGTTAATAGGATCAACGTGCGAGCGCGCACGCGTTGAGCACTGCCTTTTTAGGGAGATGTCACGCCTGTTTGGGAGGAAAAATACTCACGGAAGATCGCAGCCTGCGAATGCAAAGAGATTTGTTAGAAGTAGCGGCTGTTTCTCTATCTCTGACGGTTAACTCTGGGGAGGGAGTGGGGGGGGGAGATAGATGGAAGAGCAGTGTTGGCCTGAACTGGTGCTCAGAAGGAGTAGGATTGAAGACATGAGTTGATAGCATCATGATTGGGTACTTTCTTTTTTCTTTCTTGACAGTGAGAGCTCTATCTTGGGCGCTCAGTCACCGTATCTTCTCCACAAGTTGATAGGTGCGACTTTTGCCGTGTGCGGCGAGTTAGCCATGTTGTGGTCCGAGTCTCTAATTCCATGGGTTATCTCCGTCAGCCTCCAAGACTGGGGTCAACATCATTTCGACACCGAAGTAGGGCAGATGCAAGCAAGCATGCTTTCTAACACGTTCACGTCAAAAATAAAAATAATATTTGTGGCAGATTCCTAGCAAGTTAGCGAAGGAACAACTACTCCGTTCGCATGCTCTAATTTAGACCTGAACCTGGCAAGATAATTGCAAGCGGGATCAGTAGCAAAGCTGCAACTGAGAGTCCCTCAATACTTCGAATTTTAATCCCTTGATTCACAGCTGGAAGTTATTCCAGTCGTAACAAGGAGGCCCAACAGTTAGACAAAAGTAGAGTTACATTTGCAACCCTAAACTAGGCGTAAAATTAGAAATAAGCTTATAGAAACATACTTAAGCTTTATTGCTAGACTAAAATTAGCACGAGACGCCGGAAGACCACCCAATGCGATTTGCACAGAGTTGAAGAAAAAGTCGAAGTCGGGAACATGAAACACGAATGATAGTATTCCTAAAGCGTATGCATTGCCTCAAGGCCTGGACCGGAGCTGAAAGATTCGGTTTCTGAAGAGAAACAAACGTACAAAAACTACACGTTATGGACCATCGAAGGACCAGGAGGCAGAGCCAGGCGAGGCATGGAAAGAAGACGGCGTTTGGCCGGCTACGTACCAGGCGACGCAATGAGAGAATCGGGTTAAAGCGCGCGATTTCGGAGAGTGGAGACAAATCGATCGATGGAATAGGATGGAGTAGAAGTGTAAGATGTGAATGCAACGAAGCAGAAGGCCAGAAAGAGCTTCTAGTGAATGCACTCCAAGAACCAAGTTTGAGCATCCCCGTCGCCAGCATTCGTGAAAGACGTCCGTGGGCAATTCGAACGCGTAGCAGCCTTTTCGAGTTTTCGAATTTCTAATCAAAACGAAAGCAATACTTCAGTTCTTTTCACTATTATCGTGGATAATGAGTCTCAAGCCAGTGATTTATGGCTGAAATAGAATCATGATTTTTCCGCGCAAGATTCCTTTAAAGCGAGAATCACGATAAAGTGTGTGCAGCGTGGAAGTACATGCACCTGTGGAAGCAGTGGTCAGGGGCCGAAGGAAGCGAGATGTACATTTCGCAGTCAATGATGCCAGTGCTTCGTACTGTGCCTGCCTATGGCCGATGTCGTAGTATATGAATCGCTCGATCGCTCGGATCCAGAGGAATCGATCGATTCGCTGGATCCGAGCGTTGCACCAGCAATCGACCGATGCACCAGCGAGTCGAACTATGTACCAGCGAGTCGAACGATGTACCAGCGACTCAATAGTGGTGGGACCCAACGTTCAAAGGAAGCCCGCCACTTTCAAAAAGGGTCCACTGTCACGTGACACTGTTCGAAAGTGGCGAGCTTCTTCGAAACGTTGGTCCCGCACTATCGAGTCGCTGTGTGCCATCCCAGCTCGATGGTTCCGCTGGTACTCAAAGTTTGGGTTCGCGTTGGTGCACACGTTCATTTCGCTGCGCAACGCTCGGATCAGCTCCGGATTCGGGTACGAATCGCTGGATTCGCAAACTATGACGTCTTCCGCGAAAGGGATCCATTCTTCTCTTCTTTGAACTTTTTTTGTCGCTTACTTGTGCTTTATTTCCCCCCAGCATGTGTGCCAATTTCCACCTGTTATATCCAACCCAATCTCATAAGGGTGCTTTCTTGCTTTAATGAAACTTGTAAGTGCACCTTCATATTTACAACGTTGTGAGCCAGTTCAATGATACCGACAGAAATAGAACAGAAAACTTTATCAGATACAAAAACCTATAAGAATCACCATAACATTCCTCACGAAACAAAGCAAATGGAGAACAAACAATCGCCTTTTCCATTTTGAGACCATGCCATTTCAAAAAAAAAACCAAGAGCAGAGAAATCTGCATTAATCATTCCGTTTACAGAAGGGCCATACATGACGACTCATTCTGAATCGCAGTGGCTGTTGAGCGCGATTTGACCTACAGAATAATTTTTAGTGTGTACGTCCACTGGTCGGTCCGGCTGCTTTTAGTTCTTCATGATGCGCATGAATCTGATACTCAAATTCTATTTCTCAGTTCGGATGCAAGGAGACTGCAAGGCGCTTACGGTGACTCAACTATGGACTGCGGTATTGCAGAAACGGAATTATTAAGTCTCGGAGATGGATTTTAAGGCCCTCTCGGCAAATAAGCTTTGAATGAGGAACAAGAATCTCGCGCGTGGCAAAGTTTAACACGGGCCACCTACACATACTCGACACCCGCGTCGTTATTACCAGTGAAATGAGACGTATACTTTCTCATACGTCTCGGAACATTGATCCTTTCCAGCTTTGCATGAAGTAATCTAGACCGAATTTGAAGGGTAAAAGCGGTTGACAATGGAATTGTGGATGCCGAGTTGACTGCAAGTGAAAAAATAAACAAAGAAAACCGCCGATGAAGCTCTTATACGAGAACACGCTTGATCCGCCAACTTTGTTGATGGTGTCAAGAAGTGGGATCCTCAGATAAACCGCACGCGAAAGCACGACTGGCTCGGATGCGTAGAACAAAGGATTGCAACGCCGATTCGAGAACAGCAACCTGGGAGGCAACATTGAAAGCTCATGAGGCTGCAAATGTTTCGCTCACGGAGAGCTGCTGCCAACGAAGTCCACTGCTATTGGTGAACAATAATGTTAGCAAGTGGATTGGTTTCCCGGCATGGTGCCCGGAAAATCGGAGAAACTTTACTTTATGTCGGCAACGCTCGCCCACGAATTACGAAGAAGGTTCAGGAAAGGTCTCCAAGCTCGTTATAGAATGATCTGACCCACTTAGTGTGTACAGCAAACCTGGTAGAGACGGGCTACCATACGCTTCTGTTGCCGTCGAAGGTACTGAAATAGGGGCAGTTCGATGATCCGGACCTACTCGGAGTCAACCTCTTTGAGCTTTTCGCCCCAAAGACTCGGGATTTCTGAACGGCCGGCAACCTGAAGTCGCCTGCTGAAGAGCAATGCTTTAGCGATCATGGTGGTTGGTTTTAACATTGTATAGGCCACATCGCATTCAAACGCCACGAATGTAGAAATGTAAGTAGAATGCGTGCCGCATCCCAAGAGGGATTGATCAACGGCAAAAGCTTTATCTTTATCTTTCTTTATCATAAAGGAATGATTACTGGTATAGGTTGTATTATTTTGCCTAGGAGAGAGAAACTACAGTCAGGTAATCCATGTTAGTCTAATTATGAATACTGGAGCCAAAAATTCCAACAAATTCTTTCAAACCACTGCGACCTTGAATGGGCGCGAGGTTCGCGGCGCATCCTCCAGAGAGTCCAGTAAGATGAGCTACTTAGCGGCCAAGAATCTGAAAGAATAACTCATGACGCACTGCATCACATCGAACATCTACTATACCAACATATGATATTGCTCTGTGATAACTTACCTCAAAGGGAACAATGGAGGTAAAGAAAACAAGCGAAGAGGAGATTCAGAAATAAGGACCATGAGATTATGCGCCTTAAGACGCCGCCTGTACGTCTTGACGACGGAATTGTGTAAATCTTGGGATGGCTTCAGCGTTACCCCGGGAATGGTTGCTTGCATGATGTACTATGCTGAGATTCGTCGAAAACAGTACTGATTTAACCTGTAAATATCTATTTTAAACAACGTATCCTATACAAAACCTATTTTGAGAGTAAGCGCATGCACTAGGCAGTGGAAACCGAGTATTCGTTGGTCAAGGGCACATTCAATGATTAAGAGAGACGAAGAAATTCCATTCGTAAGTAGGACAAAGCTCTTTACTAAGGTGGAATGAGTGACCCTTTAGCGCGACTTGGGAGTGTGCTATACGAGCAGCTGCTCCACTACCAACTGATTTCCTCATTAACTTTTACCGCACGTTTTAAAAAAGGATTTCATGGTATGGCCGAAGGGCTAACAATAAGAAGGAGAAAATTGTCCAGTGGGGAGACAGGTGGACCACTTAGACGCAAGAATCGGGATTAAAAGAGGCAATTCCACTCAAATATGAAAATGTGG